ACGAAGCAAGCATTGACTCAACCATTGCATTTTGCATGTTTTTACTTGCATATTCTGAATATTCTGTAGGGAACCAGAAAGAAACACACTGACTAGTATCTAAACCCTCATAGTTGTGTACCCATTTAACATAAACATTCCCTATGTGGGTCTCGGGGCTCCATTTTTGAGAAAGAAAAAAAAAAAAGACGTACTGCTGCCCTAATAAGCGTGTCATAGGAGGCAACTAATTATGGGTGTTTTCTTCAAAGTCAGGGCGCATCTGCCTGAGAGGCGAGAAATCAATGATCTGCATATAAATAAGCCACATCTGTAAAACAGATATGCATGCAAAACTCAAGTTCTTTATCAAGACCAAGACCAAAGTCTAGGAATGGGTACAGCCAGAACTTTCTGCCGGAGTTTACAGCAGGTAAACACTAACAAGGAAGGAGGCGTCTAACACCTGGCTTAATAAGAAGCGTGTATAACCGTGCCAGAAAGAAATGCATGCAAGACATACTGGCAGCACAAACTGAAACTCTCAAAACAACTCTACTTCTAAATGGGAACCACACAGGATTCATTAAACACCTCCCCGTGTGGATTCACACATCACATGTCAAAACTGCTGAATTAAAAACATTTGATCTCAAACCAAATAATAACACATAAAATCAAATGATGAACTGTAATATAAAGACAATTTTATTCAGAAACAACAACATTTGGCATTGAATATGTGAATAAATATTATGAATGTCTGAGTTAAAAGAATACATAAAATGATCAGGAGTATCAGGGAAAATAAAATCTCCCTAAAATGATGATGATGATAGCAATGAATTAATCATAATTTGTTGAGTTAGAAGAAGAACGGAGCACCAATGGGTTACTACCCGTGTGCCATGATGCTGATCTGTTGTTCAAACCTCAAACCTGTTAACCTCAATTATTCAGAAGTGCAGTATCCCACTGTTGGTGTACATTTACTCAAAAATAAAACTGACAGATCCCACCCAAGTCATGGGTCAACAGCTAGTGTTTCAATGGGTGCGGTGACCCATTGTTATCTCTGAGAATATGCTGCACACCCCAAATTTCTGTCGCTGTTTGACTCTTTTGTCTTTTATTCTTGTGCCCTCACCACACACAAAAAAAAGGCTGCCAACAGAACACTCACTGTCGTCTTTTGGGAATTTTAACAGATGGGGGGACCAATTTGTTTTATGGTAAAATTCTCACAACTACCGTCTAGAAATCATGAGTTTTTAACAACATATTTTACCAAACTCTTCTGTGGTATAACTCACAACTAATGTTTGGGAACCAAGAGGTCTGTTTTTAACACACACACACACACAAAACACTCTTCCTTGGTATAACTCTCGTAACTACTATTTAGAAAACAAGAGATTGAAACAAAAATAAACCAATTTCTTATGCAGTGCGACTTTCACAGCTACTGTTTGGAAACCAAGAAATTGGTTTGTAACAAAAAATACTTATCTATTCCATGGTATGACTCTCACAACTACTGTTTGGAAACCAAGAAATTGGTTTGTAACAAAAAATACTTATCTATTCTATGGTATGATCCTCACAACTACTGTTTGGAAACCAAGAAATTGGTTTGTAACAAAAAATACTTATCTATTTTATGGTATGATCCTCACAACTAATGGTTCCCCCCCCCCCCCAATATATAAGCTACCCAATGAAGAAAATGAACCCTAGTACTCGAGGATCATGAAACTGTTAATCATCAGTAATCTCTAAGCTTCCGGCCAAATTAGAGGATAAAGCATGGCAGAATGTTAAGCTTGAAAGTCATTTTTGCTTTCGACAGCTTCTTTGCTAATGCAGTATCCACATATGGACAGTAGTTTTCGCTGTCTCTGCTACTGAGTTTAGTGCTAGGTGCAGCCCTGTGAGCAGTTTAAAATAAAATGTGGAATGCCTTTCATTTTTGCAGCATTTGTGTTGTGGTATTGAGTATGAGCCAGTTTACGTGCGAGTTGGTGAAATACCTCAAGTTAATAATTTTACGTATGTTTAGTAGCCAACTTATTGTGCCCGATAACCTCTATCAACGCAAAATGTATTTCTGGTGGTGACTGTTGGCTCTGGCACCTCTAGCAACCAAAATTAACATTTACTGCGTGCGCATATTTCTGGATTATTTGTTCACCAGTTTTTGAAATGCGACAGGGAGGGACATTTCATTTGATTTGCACAGGAACGGAGCAAGTACGGGGAAACGTCATTGCAATGAAGCTGAAACCTCACCAAAGATTAATCTCTAAGCCAAACAGCCCCACCCGTGACTTTTGTACTACTCTCTAAAAGGTCTATAGAATGTATTTAAAAAAACAAACTAAACTGCCCACAGACAGCAGAAAACTCGGGTACTCTGGAATTACATGTACCCATTGAGACTGAAACTCAGTCTGCTCAAAAATGAGTCAGATCTGTCAAACAGATGCACACGCAACACCCCGGTTCTGAAGCAGGTCTGCAGTCCAGAAGTGGACGAACAACAAGAACCTTCCACAAGAGTTTACATCTGGTGAACGGAAAGAAGATTTCTGAAACTACAACTAAGGTCAATTGTGCACAACTAATAAATGCAAACGAGGACTGATTATTCAGTTTATTATAATAACGACGAAGAAAAGGCAGACTTCAATACCACTGACATTGTAAATTGATGAAATAAAAAAAAATGAACAAAAACTAGCATATTTAGCTACACAAAAAAAAGGGGGAATGAGCTAAAATAATGATGAAGAAAAGATAGACTTGGATACCACTGACATTGTAAAGTGATGCAACAGAAAAATGAACAAATAGGAGCACATATATCTATTCAAAAAAAAAAAAAAAAAAAAAAAAAACAGGTAACGAGACCCTATATAGAGGTTAATCGAAAAGAACAAAAGCTGTTAGACACAGAAAGGACAGGGACTGACAGATATGTACAAAATACACGTCTTAAAGGGAAATTTACAATAAACAGGCTGAACTGGATAAAAGCTGTGAACATGTAAACAACCGGTAAACACAACTTACGAGTCAGCCTCATAAAATTACAGTTACAATAAATAAATACTTATTTTTCTGAGTTCATCTAAAGATGTGTTGAATGTTGAATTAAGAATCGACATCACAGCACTTGGGACACCCCCTTAAGCACTCCATCCCCATCTTAAGCAGCAAGCGAAGAGTTAAAATTTCGATGGTTCCAGTAACAGTCTGATTGTATATCCGTCTCGCCTATCCCCTGAGTGTCAAGCATCGGCCAGATCCCCTTGTAACTCCTCGCAGTGCTAATCATCTGAAAATTGAACTGCATTGTGCCCGTTTACAGCATGGCTGTGATATTTGTGACTTTCAGCCAACACATCCGACTTTTGCGGGCATTTATTGACCGGGTTAGCCTTCCCCGATAAATAAATATCCAATGAGGGAAAACCTAATAATTCTAATGGAAACAGAAGGCCCCCCAACAGAAGCTAGCTAAACAGGGGTATAAACATGGGAGAATGTTTAAACAGACCAATATGCCACGTCTGGGATGTGTATGGCAATAGTTACCGATTCACATTTGGCAATCCTGCCCAATTTACAACAATATATGGCATCATTTAACTTCATTCCATCAAAAAACATGGGAATGTCATGAAACTTTACTATTGCACTCTCCTGCTTTTTCTTTGTCTTCACAAGCCACTGGGGTGTAGTGGCTAGATGCGCACCTGCGTAGCAGATGTGTGGGTTCAAATCTGAACGGAAACAGGCTTAAAAAAAAATGACAATGGCCCCCAGATTGACCCAGCTTTAAATGGGTACCAGGTAAACTCATGGGAAGTAAAGGCAGCTGTTGTGATGCTGACCACATCACCCACCAAGTGTCGATTGGTGTATGAAAGATGGGCCTAGCCTTTCATGCTTAAAGGCATTAAATAAAAAAAGTCCTTTATTTCTTTCTCTTATGCTTTTTATCCCAAAATGGAACCAACCAGCCCACAACCAGCCAGCCTCTAGATGCAGCTGTTTCCTCCAACAGCCTTTTCAGCCCATTAATTCACTATGTTCTCTGAGTGTTTTGGGTCTGCCCTCATTTTACTACACTAGTCAACGCAACGAGCAAAGAAATCCAAAACTGAAATGGATACCAACAACCTTTTTTTTTTTTGCATCTGTCCTTAAAAATGCCGTCAACCAGGCTTCTCAGGAACTGCCAAGGCAGAATGGCAGTTTAATAAAAGTTTTGAGGGGATTTGTAACAGGATTTCGCTGGAGTAGAGGCTAAAGGGTGAAGAAACCTGGACAAGTAAGATGATGTAATGAGGTGATAGGTAACATTGCTACTATTTTTAAATGCCACAAATCTCTAATATATCAGTTTACTGCTTTTATGAGGTAGAGTGGTCAACTGACAGACACCAGTTAATAGTAAATAAAAGCTTCAGTGTCTTTTAAAAATAAACATTTAAAAAAAAAAAAACATCTGCAAGTTTATTTCTAACAACTAACTCATCTTTCTTGACAAAATACCACCACCACCTTGAGGAACAGAACTGAATGCTTCAATAACATCAGACGAAAACTGAATTAGACATTAAAATATGTGCAAACTAAAACTGATCAATTAAAACCTGTACAAAACACTTCACAAGCCAGTTAAGTTGACCGGGTTCCCAGGCCACACACAAAACAACACTGTAACAGCAGCAGCAGTGGAAAAATCCCAAACAAGATGCCGAAGTTTGTTAACAACCACCGTTCAATAAAAAGAATAAAAGAGCAGGAGGAAGAAGAGGATGGATCTCTGATCACTTGCACTATATGGCCCCAGTTTTATGTACGTGTGTAAAAAGACGTATCAACACTCGGTAATTACATACATATATACATAAGCTGGAGAATAATGTTGGCGGATGAAAATGAAAGCAGCTTTCCCAATTTGAAGAAAAAAAAAAGATAAAAAGTAACAATTGTTGAACTAGAGCACTGGGCTAGTACTCTTCTTGCTCTCCGTCATACTCCTGTTCATCTTCCGGTGGAGCAAATCCTTCCTGTAGACAAACAACAATGAAAACATTGTACGTGTATCTTTGACCTTTCAGATTTAATTGGGGTGACCATAAGTCCTCTTTTCGCGCGGGTTCAGTACCTTTGCTTAGGTCGGCTCAAACTGAGCCGCCACTATTTTTTTCCCCTTTTTCTTTTTTTTTAGCATCGATGTTGTGGTCTGGGCCGACCTACAAAATGATACTGCTCCAGCAAAAACAAGGACTTAGTCACCCTAGATTTAATGGACAAATCATTCGCAGTTCAGTAATTTTTTTTTTAATACTGGACTTGGATAAATATTACGGAGATCTCCCTATGTATGTTAGCTCCACCCATTTACGCACTAGGTCACTTTTCATTCACACTTCGTGACGCTCATCAACTTTGCTGAAGGTTACGGGGGGTGTCCCCGTGTACTGTTTGCTCAAAAAGCTTTCTGCGGTGTCTTCCATTTATGTTTTCATTCCGAGAAAGATAATGCGTGTGATGTAGGTTGCAGCACTCCAGTGGGGGAGGAGTTGTATTACGGCCAGTCCTACATCGTTTTAAGCGCTGATGAGCTGGAATTTACAACATGCGATATCAACAGTGTTAACAATTGTAGCGTGTCAGCGCTTTCACCCATAAAGTGAAAAAAAAAATAATTTAAAAAACTTAACAGAGTAATAAAAAAAATATTTTTTAAGCTGTCCTAGAAGAGAAGCAAAGCTCATAAAAATCATAGTACAAAAGTGTGATATCCACAAAAATAAAACTGTAAGTACTAACTGCAAGATATCGGACACTTTTCAGACCGCAGATGCATCAGCCATAATGCTACAGACCCGAACTTTTTTATAGACCAATCAACCGGATATGGCTATGCACTGGTCACAATTATTTTTTCTAACAATTCCTGACACCCACTGTTCTAGACTGGGTCCACCTGGGAGCCGAGATAAATTACAAAACACTGGCCATAAAGCAGCACTGAACCTGTCTGTAAGCAAGCATGGGGGTCTCCCCACCAAAATGCTCAAACCGTTTGCTCTGTTCTCTGATGGGCGCGGGTTCGTTTCACAGCTGCGTCGTTCAGTTAGCAAGTGCAATTTTTACACAGATCCCTGGAGATCGTAACTAAAGCTATGGAGTTTGTGCTTTGTGCAACATTCTCAGCAGGCGGCTAGCCGTTTTGCAGTGAGAGACCGAGCCACATGGGATAAACCCCGGTGCTACAAAGTCGGTCCTCAGGACTTTTCACTGTTAAACTAGTGACACAGTACTGAAAAAGCTAGAAGGACTCTGAATGTCTCTAGCCTACCTGCAAGGTAAAATATTTATGGTGTCTATCTACCACACATTCACCGGCTGTAAACTCTGACACACAGTTCTAGTTGTTCATCCACTTCTGGACTTTGGTTCCACACCCTGATCTGCCTTATCTGTATGCAGATTGTTGGTTCCTTGTGCCTCAAGCAGATGCACTCCAACTTCAAAGAAAACACCCCTAATTAGTGGACTCTTAGGACATGCTTGTCTATTCTTACTGTCCTTCCCACAGGCCCTGGAACACATAGGGCCAGCTCAATATTTTATGTATACAAGCATGTAAAATCAAAATGGAATGAACCAGGAAGGAGCCCCAAAAAACAGACCTCAGTTGCATAAAGAACATCCATGATTTCCTTGATGTGAGGTGCTCCTTCATTGTCTTGGCAAATCACTTCAATCTCTCGCAGCTTGTTGAAGTAGAAGTCTCGTTCTTTCTCCAAACCTTCTTTGTCCAGGGTCAGCTGCTCAATCTGTGAAGACAGGATGGTTGATAAATAAAAGTAGGGTACCCTTTTTCAGTCATGAGCAGGACGTGATGATTCCTTGGGACAGCCCAGTACCAGAGCCCCGTGTACTGGCTCTGCATTTATGGAAGCCTCCTCAAACAGCAGGGAATGCTCATGTTTTGCTCCTGCCTTATCTTTGAGGACTGACTAGCATTACATGGCTGCTCTGGACCGGCCTGATTGGGAAATGGGAGGGGGGGGGGGCACACCACCCGTGAACTAGAAAACAAAGATAACCATACAACAATGAGACTGCACATTTCCCATAAAACTAACCAGGAAGCCTAACCCGGGCAGTAAATGCCAGCAGAAGTGGGATGTGTCGGCCAACATGTGCTAATATCACAGACATGTTGTAAATGGGCGAAACATTTTTACATTACATCCTTGAATGAACGCAGAAGAAGATGTTATCCACAGCCTTCTGACTTATGTACTATCAATCAATCATTTATAACACAGATGTTCTTGCATGCTAACACATCACAATGATCAACATCTATCCACTTGGCCTCCCTTAGCTTCTTTTCCCCTTTGACAGTCCCACTGTCAACACATACTCCAGATTTCTCTTCACATAGCAAGCCCAATGAGCACATGATTTATAGTTACCCATCAATAAATTTGAGGAGAAATGAAAGATTGAAATGGTTTGGCCACCTGACAAGAAGAATCTAACAATGCCGGCACTGAGAGGATATAACATAAATAGGGAAAAGCAAGAGGCAGATGGAGACCTCAATGAAGATGGTTTGAACAAGACCGGCTTCAGCTGAAGTCACCAAACTGGGCTAACAATACGTTAACACAGCGTCTCACAAACTTTTTTTGTCGGACAAAACAAATTATAATTTTGCAGAACACCTACCCTTAAAGAGGTTTGAATACTTAGGAAAAAAAAGAAATTTTGAAAAATTCTTGATTATTGCCGCAGCACCCCTGACATACGCTCGTGGCACCCAGTTTTAGAATTGCTACGCTAACGTATTGTTTAGTGGCATCAGCAGCATGGCCCGTCAGCTGGAGCCCGTCTTGGTTTGAAGCAGTCACCTCCAGAACAAGACTTTACAGCATCACATCATACCAAACAAACAAGTCCACCCTGGCTCAGCAACCTATCATGAATCAGCTCCAGAACAAGACTTGACAACGTTACATCATACCAAACAAACAAGTGCAACCTATAATTAGTCAGCTCCAGAACAAGACTTGACAATGTTACACATGCAGATACTAAATAACTAATTCTCCCCATGAGGTAATGTCTTTCAAGACATCTCAGTTATACTTTCTCCCACAGTTAAAACACCAGATACACATGAGCTTCCTGTAAGTTTATTACTGTGTAGGTTCCAGTATGCCAGTGGGGGTTGAGGGGAAGAGAACCCGCCCCACAACCACGCCAAAAAGGCAATTAATTATAGTGTCGCTGAAATGTCTATCTCTGTGGCTGAGGGACTGCGAGCGCCCTTCGCGACTCTGGGATCTATCACAGCTGCTGGTGCTTTGGCAATAGCGGTACTGAGAGCAGACCACTCAGAAAGCAACGATAAACTACTGAACATAAAATTGATCAGCGGAATCACAAACAGCTAAAAATTGCTGGAAATGGTTCTGCAAAGTCTGCCAAATGATACGACATATATTTAAAAAAAAATGAAATCTGATATGATGGACATAAAGGCAGACACTGAAAAATAAGAAGACATAATGTCAGCAAATGACTACAAATGTCCGGTGCCTACAATGTAAAGCTATTTACCTGGCCCCTGAGCTCCTCAACAATATGACTATCTCCTGCTGGGTTGTTGGCGGACACTGCCGAAGACTTCTTGATAACGTTAGGGGCAGGACTCTTGTTTGGATGTTTTACAACTGGAGTCGCAAGCAAAACAATATTTTAACACAGTGGGGGGATGTAATATTCATTTTAGTATAAATATATATTAAGACTGAATAAAACCAATCAGGTATAATAAACGGTAACAGTCAGTGAATTTCATTTGTAGAATCATCTAGCGTCCTTGTAGGTAACATACCTGTAAAATCATCCATTGTCACTGTGGGTAATTCACTCGTAGAACCATTCATCGTCACTGTGGGTAATGCACATGCTTGCTGACACAAAGGTCCCGGTTCAATCCTCAGAAGTGGCAGGACTGTCCCCAACCAGTAAGGGTCACACCAACATAAACAAACATGCACCAGTGTTTCCTTCTCTAACTGCATTCATCAGTTGTAAACTCCAGGATTTGGGGGTTGCTCGGAGCCCCGAAGGTAGAATTATTTTGGCATTTTTCTTCATGTGGTTCAAACCTACCTTGTCTATAGCCTATCTACCATTAGCACAGTCTAATAAATATTTTACCAAATTTATTAGTGCCCAGTTTCAAATTGTTGTTTTTAAAGGATCTTTTTATGGAATTCCAACTGGGTCATAACCCATCTATGAAGTGTTTCCTTGGTGAGTGAGTTAAATTTGTTCCACTGAGCCTCAAAGATCAAAAAAGGAAAGAATGGTTGAATCTTCTTCTTATTCTTTGCATTCAGTTTCATATGTTCAGATATAAACATCAGGTGGGTTGCCTCTGAAGTCGCATGTCAGCAGCAGGTCCTTCATGGTTCCCTATAGCTTGCTCTGCACTTTGCTCTTGAGGCCAGGTGTCTTTTCAAAGTTGTAGGTAGAGTGGGCAGGTCTGCAGAATGTGTTCAGGTGTTTGTGGTCCTGCCTAACAGGCACACTGTGGGGACTGTACAGTATTTATTTTATACATGCCGTAGCTGAGCCTGCAGTATCCTGTTCGCAGATGGAAAATTGCTGTATGCTGATTTCTGCTGATGAGGTCTTGTGGATTTTTACTGTTAGTTTATCTCTCCACAATTCATTGTATTTTCTTTTGAAAAGTGTTTTGATTTCTGGTAATGACAATGAATGGGTGTGTTGTTTCTCCTTTGTTTAGATTTTTGCAAGCCTGTCTGCTAACTCACTTCCTGGTATGCCGCAGTGAGCCAGGATCCACTGGTATTACAAGAATCCTTATTAGTCGTCCATCAAGACATGCATAATCGGCTACAGTGCTACTATTCACTGCCTCCTTTAGATGCCCTAGTAGCCTACTGGTACATATATTGCTGGCCTTCTGTATTCTGTTTTTCTATTTCCCTAACCAATCCACAATTCTCATTTCCTAGGTATGAATATGTGACACACGGGCACACACAAGGAAAACGATGAGCAGAGAGAGTAAAAGAGACACTACCGATACACAATATGACATTACCACAATCCACACAACTAGCAAAAGACCAGAAAATATATCTAACTACTCTGTGTGATGTTTGAGGCACAAGCAGTAAGTCAAAAGAAGAAGAAGACAGGTTCACAGTTAACTCCCCACCCCCCTCCCCTCAAGTTTAAAAATAATCACACAAAGTTAACCTACTTTTCTGAGGAGGAGGCTGCGCTGTTCGAGAGACAGACTGTTTAGCAACCGGTGCCTTTAACGCAGCAGGTTTGGAAGAGCTCAACTGTTCACCACCTCTTGCTGACACAGGGTCGTAGTCCTGGCCACCATAGTTAGCATCAAAGAATCGCTTGAACCACTGCACAAACTCAAAGTTGTCCTGGAACTTGCCCTTCACCAGCTTCTCCACTGGGACTATCTGCAGAGTTGTCAAAGGCTAGCTGAATATCCTCAAAGAAAGGTATAAGTCTGTACTTTAACAAGGTAATATGTGCATTGTTCATTACAGGATCATTTTCAGTGCACATCCGGCATACCTGTAAGGACTCCGTTCTTTTTCCAGGCAAGTTGCTTAGTGTGATTAGTGATTAGAAAGGATTATCATCACAGCATTCTGGACATATCCATAGGTGCTCCGATCTCCTCCTCAAAAGTTCCACAAGTGTATAACGACTCATGACGCCTGTTCTGTGTTGGATAATGAAATGTCTTGTCCCCTTAGTGAAATGTTCATTTCCTGCTGCTCCAGGCTGCACTCCCATGTCCATCAGTCTAGACAGGGTACGGAGTCATGTCCTTTGGCATGCTCCTAGGTACGTAAGTGCAGCGCATGGCATTTATAACATCACTTCTGTCCAGTACTGGGCCAGCCATAGCAACTGCAGTGTCAGCAAGATAGCCCTCAAGCTCGTTCCCTTGAACACCCGCATGACCTGGCACAAATATGAAGGTTAGGGCAGATATTCGTGAAGTGCTTAGTCCTGTAATCCATTCTTGCCTGACAAATCCAGCTTGGGTTTTTTTAAAAGCATATTGTGTTTCTTGGTTTCTTAGCGCGTTGACGCTAATGACTCCTGTTTTGTATTGGCTACTGTAGCAGCTGGGAGCTCTAGCATGGTCTTCACATTGCTCAGTTTCCATGGATATACACATACTTTGCACACTGGCTAGGGAGAAACCAGCACCCTCACGTTTCAGTGAATGTTGTCTTTTGTGCAGCATTAATTACATCCCCTGTGTCTATTTCCTACTGCCTGCAAGTGCATCCACCCTCTTGTTTTGTACATTATGAATAGTCCTTTACAAACAACTCTTTGGTCCCATAAGTCATATGCAAGAAAGAAAAACACTCAACTGCAGAAGAGAATTCTGTGACCACTTTGCCAGGAAGTTTGTTCCCTCCATGAGTGCAGTCTGCAGGATTAAACAGCAAGGTTATATGGGGGCCCCCGATGGTTATGAAACAACCTAAAGTCCAGATAGGCAGGGAATTAGTAGGCCCCGTATTATCTGCAATGCTAACACTGTCTATCTGTTTCACTCTGTCCCACATAGAGTACTGAAAATAATTTAATTTTTTGTTAAACCTTGTAAGTGCTCATCATGTAGGATGCCCTCTGTAGAATATTACCATCATTACAGCTTGCACAGAGAGCTCACATCTTTCTCATGTCTCATCCAGTTATGTTCAAGGCTCCCTCTGGTCTTCTGTGGCCCCCATCACCAGCTGCTGCGTCTTCCATTAATGCTCTTTCTAAACCAATGTTCCCTATGTGGGTTCGGAAGTCTCATTATGGGAAAAGCAAGAATAGACCCACTGTGTCCCCAGCAAGCATGTCTAGGAGTCGACTAACTGAGGGCATGCTGGCAAAAGTTAATTAGAAAAATACTTCCTACCGTTGTCCATCCCACTCTCGCTACAGAAGTAGTTCAGTTATACCTGTTTATACTTACTTACTTAGTCGCTCCTCTTCGACCTTGGGGTGTAGAGGTTTGCCAGAGAGATCGCCAGACGTCTCTATCAGCAGTTTTCTTTCTGGCTTTGTTCCATTCCAGTCCTCTGTCAGTTAGGGACTGTCGGATGTTGTCTTCCCAGCGCACCCTGGGTCGTCCCGGAGGTCTGGTTCCCTGGTTCTTAACCTCCCATGCTTGCCATGGTGGCCGATTTTCTCCCATTCTGCATACATGTCCAAACCATCGTAACTGTGACTGATCTACTCGGTACCTGTTTATAGCATAGCTGTAATATTTACATTATTCAGCCGACACGTCCAGCTTCTTCATGCATCTATTGTTCGATTAGTTTCCTGTGTTCACTGTGCAACAATAGTCAACACAAGTCGTCTATTACAAACCATTCAAATTTTCCCAATAACACAGTCAAATTAGTTTAGTTAACATTAATGATCAACAGTTAAATACTTCTTTACATATGCCTTATTTGTAGTAAAATAGTTAGAGACAGATTAAAACGAGTAACGAAGACGTCTCGAAAGAAACTGACCCACAAAGATAATTGATTGCCGAAATCAGAAGGAGACAATCCACATTCTTTGGTCTGTCACGAGAGGAGAAAAACTAGAGTACATTGTGCCGGTGGGAAAGATGTAGGTGACTAAGAGAGAAGATGTTGGACAGTCTGACAACATAGCATGGAAGATCACCTGTGTCAGAACTCATCGAAAGCACATGAGACACAAGGCTGTTGACAGACATGACTAGCATGGGATATAACAAGTAGTTACAGATTTAACTTCTAGCTTGTGGCCAAGAATTAAAAACTTTCCAACCTCTAGCTTGTCAGCAGTTAAAAACTCACATATCCACCCTTAACTTAATATTAACAGTTAAAAACTCACTTATCCACCCTTAACTCAACATTCACAGTTAAAAACTCACCTTATCGACCCCTAACTTCTGGAAACAAGCCTGAAGTTGCTTGAAATTCTGTATGTATTCATGTTCTAGTTTGGTATTGAATTTAACTTTCTTTAAAACCACACAGCCTGGAACACAATAATTCCTCAAGTAACAATAGATATAGTATTTTGTTACTGTGTGACAAATGAAAACTAACATAATCTAAAAAAAAAAAAAAAAAGGTACAAATGTATACAAGAAGATTTTTACACATCCCCCTTCTATCACCATTCTTTGAAAAACACAGTATACCTTCTATACTTTTCCCAAACACACATTGTCAGTTTGACATATCATGGAAAGATATAAAAAAAAATGAAAATAAGTTCAGCAGTAGAGTAGATCCTTCCGACATATGGGTTTGAACCTACTGAGATTAATGACTAGGGGGATGTAACGCAGCAAACCATTTGATGTCTCACAAAAATAGACACAACAACCATTGCTATAGCATGTTGAAAATGGACAACACAATGCATTTAAAATGAAAACTGTAGGGCATAAAAGATTAATATACCCAACCTCTTACACCGTATAGCCTTAACTCTTTTTCCCCCAAGCAGCGCAGCATGTGTGATAAATTTTATCACAAACATTAGGCAATATGTTCTGTTCTTTTCCTCATTTCGTCATAGAATACTAAAGAAATCTGACATTTCCAGATGTCTCTTTTAAAAGTGTTATACTTGTGTTTTTTTTTCTAATGGTTATCTCTCTCCTTAAGAAACTTCTATGAAAATTTATGGGACTGAAAGAGTTAATGTCCAATACATATTCACAAGATCACCCGCCCTTTCTTTGTGTGTGTTAAAATGAGATCCGCTTTATCCTCCATTATCTGCCTTTCCCACTTCTATATCTGTGTACCACCACACCCTTTTTCTGCACAGTGCCCTCCCCATCCATGCCCTTCCTATAGAGATTTACTTCTCTGACTTATTTCGTCATCACTTTTACTCTTCTTCCTTGTCTACTGACTTATAGAGCTTATGGCAGACTGAGCTTGTGCTCTGTTGTTAAGACATCTCCAAGGCTCACACTTCTACAGATTGGTGAATTTTGCTGGGGGTTTTTTTTTTGTTTTTTTTTTTGGTTCGTAATCTGTGTCTTTTTGTGTGCTGATGAAGGCTTTTTAGCTGCAGTGTTTATTCTTCACTTGAAATTGTGTCCCTGCAAATTTGAACAGCTCCACTTTTCATTTTGTTTTATCCCTTATGGTTATTGTCATTGTACATTTTATTAGTTCAAGCCATTATCTACAATGCCTATCAAACCATCAGTGACGTGAGAGAATCCTACTGATGAGCAACCAAGGGTAAAGATTATCAGACAAATCTAGTAAGAACTGAAAGTGTTTCTTTTCATTTAAAAAATAAAGTATTTTAAAAGGTAAGAGAGTGATTTCATTGCACAGGGTTTTATTTACATGTGTCAATTGTATAATTAAGTGCCCGGTTGACTTAAAATGATCTGGAAACCACTAATATACAACCCAACAAAATTTAAATATTATGAATGTTTGGGCAAACAAGCCAGTTAATGACAAAATTACATTTACAAAGACTGAAGAGTTTTTAACTAGTAGAAATAGCACTTCTTACCTGGAAATAACAAATCCATAAATTGACAATAAGCAGCACCTGTCAAGACAGAACAGATCAATCATTTATTCTGTGGTCTGAAACAGTTTTATTTACTTTGCTTATTGCTTGCCATAATAAAGTTTTGTTCAATATTGTGATTCTTATTTTAAAAAAAAAAAGAACAATTTGGAAACAGCATAACTGGATAGCTAGACCAAAAAATAAAATCTTTCTTCTTCAGTATTCTGAGCCCTTGAGGTTCATTGCTGCAGATATTACCCAACTTCCTTCATCTCTGTAATTAGTCTTCTCTTTTTATATGGTGATTCCAGGTGTTTGCAGGTCTGCCTGTATTTTATCTCCCCCCCCCCCCCCCCCCCCCCCCCCCCCCCCCAACCCCCCCACCCCCCCCCCCCCCCCCCCATCTTCTTGGTCTATGACCATTTAACTCCCTTGTGTACACAGTGTTTACTTCTCTGTTGTCAGTCATTCCCTTAATACGTCCCAGCCATTTCAGTTTATTAGCCCCCATGATGCCAGTGATCAATGGTGATTTAAACAGATTATGTTGTTGCTGCTTCTCACTCTCCATTTCTCTGTTTGCTTCTTTGATGGCCCAAATAACCTAATAGAAAAAAATTTAATCAAAAGCAGCAGGAATGATGAGATGGCCAACAACGGGTACCCATACTTCCAGGAAGGGTGCTGATTCACTGGGACCGAAACTGGAGAGGAAGAGTAAAGAGAGAACAGACTGAATAAACATTAACTCCCATGTCATAAGCAGCGACAATGTTTGTTGAAATCATATGTGATCCTAGCTGTAAACAACACAGTGTGCCTTCTGTAATCTTAATAGCAAAGACAGAAGAATAAGTGGGGGAAAAACAGTGGACTAATTACCTGAGCAAAGTTCTTCAATTTTTGTGTAATTGGTTTGCAGGGTCTCGTTAATCCATGATATCATCTCATGTCGACTGAGATTGTTTTCTGATGCATTTGTGCTGTGGACATTCACAGCCGCCATGATTGCTAACTACAGGGTTGAAATATCTGCAAGAAAAATCACATCAATAACAATTATTGGCTTCTGCTCACATACAGCACCCTATGCAATTAACAGTGAGTGCAACTTATAATAAGAAGCAGCTGGCCGAACGGTTAGAATGCATGGTAAAGCTGGGGATTTTTTTTCTGTCGGGGGAAAAATAAAATCCTCACTTGCACAGTTGTGGCAAAAGCACTAGCCATGCGCCCGTAAATCCTCAGGCTCAAAGACCACATTGTCTACACCTCAAAAGTGGCACAATAAAGTCAGTAATTGGCAGGTTTTTTTGACAACTTCTAATCTATTGTAACAGCTGCTTCCATCGAGGATGAACTGCATTTCAAATGTCAGACTGTTTGTGTTGGCACTTCATGCCTTATGTATTTAATGTATATGTTATTGGCTTTGCTGAGACTGCAGTTATGTCAATATTTACACAAGGAACTGTGATGGACATTCTGTGAGGGTTTTCGTTGGCAAAGGAACAGAGTAACTATGGGGTGACCTGTTTGCCACGAAGTAGGAACTGCATTTACTTCTATATTGTATTTCATAAATAGCACAATCAAACAAATTGGCATGTGTTCTTTTTCCTCCAACTTTAAAATGGTTTTAAAAAAAAATTTTAAAAAAGGAAAAGGACCCCTTTCCACGTCTTTAGGCATATAGGGCTAGATTTATATTTTTACAGACCAATCGATACTAGATGGGTGATGTGGTCAGCATCACACCGGCCAACTTTACTTCCCGGGACTGCACTCGGTACCCACTCAAGACTGGGTCGACCTGGGAGTCAAGGTCATTTTAATTTAAAATGGTAGTTGCCACATATTGTATTGGTTTACATCTAGGTGGAGATATCTGTGCCTCTGGTCAAATACATTAGATTTCAGCAAGCTTTTGAGTAATCACCTTTTACAATATTCTCCTTAAGGGACAGCGGGTCTATAACCCAACCAAAAGAGGATTCAGAGCCAACTTGGGAAGGCATGTATTGATTGGCACTCATACACAGAAGGGAAAGAAGTAGAAATATTCCCATCTTTACTTTTTTCCTTTGCATGTGAAAATCTGACCCGAAATATTAATATTTAAACACTTTGTTTTATCTCCATCTTATTTACTTTTACTGATATGGTTTCTACCTTTCATCACTGTCCTATCTTTCGAATACTAATTTTCATATATTTACTAGGTATTGACTTGACTGAGATGGTTCAGCAGGTCCTCTTCTTCGGGAGATACTCTCTACGGTGGCGGCAGTTGCCAGAAGTCAGCAATTTACATGTGACTGAGGCCCTGTAAGGGTATATTTTCAGCCGCGATAATTTGGGCCCGTTATTCGGAGGATAGTCTTTCTTTGTTCCTCTCAGTACCTTGCTTTTTCGACTACACCATGTAAGCTATAGAAACCAGGGCAAAACTATGTCAGGAGTTACTAACAACTATACTATTATAATTATTAATAAAGCCTTGTCAAAAATTATAAAATACCATAATAATAATATTATAATTCAGAATTCTTAATTAGTGACTTTAGATAGCGACTACGGTGTTCGGCAATTGCGGTCTTTTGGCAATTTCCATTACCATGGAAACCGTTCGAAACTTGCTTTGCAAATGTCGGCTGGGGTTTCGGGATGGGTCCTAATCTCTCATGAAAATTTGCGGTTGGTGTGATTTTCACCCACTATAAAAAGCTGAAAACGGCGGAAAGGAACCCGATTAACAGCGCATGTCTACGACAGCCGGACGTCTGTTTTTCTGTAACATCAGTTTGATTGAAAATAGCGATAAGTATTCAGGGTTGGCTTCCGGCTTTAACTTTTACTGTACCTGGTAATGCTAGTTATAATTGAATTCTCCGTCCAATTTTACATTTGTGTATAAAATTTCTTTCTGGTACGTGGCTAGGTAGATGTACAGTGACATTTTTCAGGCAATCGCTGGCACAGCCAGTCTCATTGTCTGCCATCTTGTCCAATGCAAACAAAGCCAAAACGAAAGTTGCGCAGAGAAAAATTCTTGTTTCTGGGAGACAAGTTTTAGCAGCTGTTTTTTTTTACATCTTATCTCCACAAAAACCTACATATCTCAGCTCAGAAATGACATACAAGCCTAAATGAGGTATCGTTGGGGAGTAATTGTTTACAGCTATCTAACTGTGCTGGTTTTATTGGTGTAGAGGGCATTTAAAAAATTTGACTAAAATACCTACTTTAGACCAAACATTTAAAAATTTTAAATATCAAATAACACATTTAGGGAGAATGAGTTACAGTAAAGTAGCACCTGTCTAGGTCAGAAACATTTATAATGCCTCTTCTCATCTGTCAGGTTACCATTCCTCGCTGACCTGTCAGTCACCAAACCGAAACTTGTCCCCACCCCTTCACCTCATTCATTGCCTCATCAAGTGCGGAGTGCCGGTGCTGCGCAATATAACTTCGGCCAATAAACCAAATGGCATGGCCAAACTGCCCTCCTTTGCTGTAAACATATTATCTTGTCACATAAATGATAAATTTGCCTGACATTTAAAATAATGAGAATGTAATCGCTTAACCTCTGCCCTTTTTGTTTTAAAATATTTTAAAATTAAAACTTTCGGCGAAGAGAGAGGGCATCGAATGACTCACTCCTGCGCAACTTTTAAGTATACACCTAATACAACTATACAATTACAATTTAACTTTATAACGAACACTTAATTCATAAAGAAACTTACAAAAGAAAAGGCAAATGAACGTGTTAAATGTTGTCTTGTAAGTTAAAACAGTTACAATAAAACAGAATCCAACGTAGCAACGGTTAGTTTTTTCTTTTTCTTAATCAACAAAGTCCAGCCCGCTTCCAACCGATCGTCTGTTAGTCACAAATGATAAGGACATGTAAAATGCGAACGTGGATTGGACTTCCGTGTGATAATACCAAAACAAACATAAATCCAATAAGTAAATTTATATTTACTAAAATTATCCTTAACTAAACAATATAATTTATTTTAAACATTAATACACGATTTATTGTAGCAATATAAATAATATTTCAACAATGTATAGGTATTTTTAGTGAAAGATTTGTGCTGCGTGTTTTCTTTCCAACATCTTGATTGCATGTTCCGGTGATAGTGCAAAAGCGAACGAGAGTGGACGAGGCATCGGTTTTTTTATTTTGCAGCTAGATTAATTATTTCTTGTTCTGAAAGCAACATAAATCAACATGGAATGTTTAATTGGAATTCAAGGCAAAGACTTCGTTCTTCTAGCTACTGATACAATATCAGCGCGCAGTGTTGTGGCAATGAAAAATGGTGAGGCACTGTGAAACTACTTAAACTTTGTCACTTTGTGGTTCATTATTTTCCGCGACTTCACCATTGCATTAGTAGACATTACTTCATGATTGTGGGAATTTCTACATGGCAATGCCAATATAATACATCATTTGTCTTCACCTTCAGTGGGATATTGTTTGTGATATCAATATCACAATTTCAGGCTCTCCTTTCAACTACTACGGCCGGTAGACAAACATCGACGGTCGGTTAGTCGGAGTTATGTCCCCTTGCTACAGTGCAATTGCGGACTGGAAAGGAGGGAACGAAACAAATGATATAATTACTGTGTGTTGCCGATAGACAGCATACGGTTAGGGTTTGGTTTACGGTTAGGGTTTGATTTAGCGGTAGGGTTAGGGTGTGGGTTAGGGTTAAGGATAGTGTCGCCGCATCTCGTCTTCACACAAACTCATAGTAGCAACCCTAACCCAAATCCTATGGCACTGCACGCTGTCTATCGCCGACACACAGTAACTATGTCACTTGTTTCGTTCCCTCTAGTCCACTCCGTAATGCGTCAAAAGAAGCGGTAATTGAACGCGGTCGCTAATTTGAGTGGCAGCGCGGGGTCTGCATGTCGACCTCACTGTGTTTTTTTATTCGTGCTGTCTCCAGTCTGTAATTGCACTGTAGCAAGGGGACATAACTCCGACTAACCGGCTGTCGATGTTTGTCTACCGGCCGTAGTTTAAAGGCGAGCCCATTTTCATTCACCTTATTTAGCGTTCTTTCTGATATTAATTTATTATTAAGATTTTTAAAACAGTTTTTTTGACTGTGGAGCTTCACAATTTAACAGAGACAGTGTAGGTTCCTAGGCCCTATTGTGGGTAGACAGGAATAGACCCACTGCCTCCCCGAAAAGCATGTTGTAGGAGTCGACCAATTGGAGGCATCCTTCAGAGTTAACACCTTGCGTTAAAGTCACCACACATGATGATGATGGTGTTTAATAGATCACATATTTCAGTTAAGTTAAGGCTCTCCGCTTCTCTTAGTCGACTTTATTGTTGCAGGCATCGATGTTGCTGTATTTTTATAACATTGCACTCTGTGGTGCTCTTTGTGTCACCAGCCTTGTAACATTGCCAAGCCATTTGTTGATCTGTTGCTTGTCTTGTTACATTGCCAAAACATTTGATCTGTTGTCTCTGCTAATAAAATTCAGTATTAGTTTTGTGCAGACTCTCCTCCTGATATCATCTCATCGTACATATAATAAGTTGACCCTTCCTTGTTACACCCAGTAAAATACATAACCATTTTATTTCTGTTGTAATTTTTGTTCTGCCTTCTTGACCAGATGGCATAAAAGATTTCAGACTTTAACCTGGAAGTAAAACCTGGTGATATGTCTTCGAGGTCAACGTGGGAGACATTATAACTAACTTCTTATGGAAACAATCAGTAGATCATCTTATTACAAAGCCTAGTTATAATCTGGCTATCCTCCAAATAACGGCCAAAAACAGGGCCTACGTCACATGTAAATTGCAGACTTCCAGCGACTATACCGCCGAGAGTATCAGCCGCACCGCTACACGCGACGCAATGCAGGGCTAAACTAGATGGCTGGGACTCACAAGCAGAGCTGCAGAAGATGCGGAAGCTGCTGCTCGTGAGTCCCAGCCATTTAGTTTAGCCCTGCGGCGCGGGACATACTCTTGGCGGTGGCTGTATAGTCGCCGGAGGTCCACAATTTACATGTGACTGAGGCCCTGTCAGAGTGTGTTTTTGGCCGCCATAATATGTGGCTGTTATTCTTAGGATAGCCTATAATCTTACTCTCTCCGTCCTTAAATTTGGGCTCACAGAAAATATGGAAGATAGATTGATAGTAACTCACTGAATTTTTTTCTCTATTTTTCTGTAGATCATGACAAGATGTACAAACTGAGTGACAATCTATTGATGGCTGTTTGTGGTGAATCTGGAGACACTATTCAGTTCTCAGAGTACATTGCAAAAAATGTACAACTTTACAAGATGAGAAATGGTAAGAAATTTGTGGACAATTTTGTTTTAAAAACAAAACCATGATTGTTCCTAAAGTATATTGTATATTGTTTTACATATTTACTGCAAATATGTCAATTATAAACACATCATGCTGTTATGCAGTGTTTAGAAGTAATGAACATTTTAGGGAGAGATATGATTAGTATTTTGTATAATTAACAGAAATAAAGAGGTGGGGAACCATTAAGGCCAAGAAACAATATACATAATAAGCAAATAGACATGTAATAATCAACACTCACAGAAAGTAGTTGAAAGATAGAACATGTCAGACAAGAGGCCACTACTTGAAACAGTAACACAGACCTGATCTGAAATCTTGTTATTGTGTGGTATATACAGCAAATGGTATTCCCTGTAAAGATTTTTGATGATGATGAATTTGTTTGTGTGAGCTGTTGTTCCTCAAATATAATTGGTTGTTTTAGCTCATTAAAAATATTTTTATTTTTTACTATGAAGGTTATGAGCTTTCACCCCACGCAGCAGCCAACTTCACACGCAGAAATATGGCAGAGAGCTTGCGTTCTCAGGTAAGTTTTCTAGTTTACTTACAGATACTGCCAAATGACATGTCAGACTGTAATTATCACTTTCGCTCTCTAGACAAGGAGGTATTTAAGGCTGCGTGGCTGACGCTGTCGCCATTGACTGTGGAGGTGAGGACTGCATGCAGAAACCAGTAGTGCATATATTTTGTGTCAACATGCAATAACTAAGTAAAAGACCTTTTTCCATGCCTTTCAAGTGAATTGGGTACATAGGGCTAGACCTATATTTTATAGACCACCGGCACAAGATGGGTGACGTGGTGAGCATCAGGCAGGCCACTTTCACTTCCCAGGACTGTACCTGGTACCCACTTAAGGCTGGGTTCACCTGGGAGCCAGGGTCATTTTTGACAAAAGTCCGGTTCCGCCAGGAAGCAAACCCATGAACTTCTTATCTGCAGGCGAGCGTTTAGCCGCTACGCCACGACGACTCCCAACATGCAGTAACTACTGAACTTAGAATTACGCCGTAAAAGTTAAGACAGACAACAAATGCTGAGCTTCGTTTGCGATGTCCTGCAGAGAATATGAACAAGTAAACAAATCTTTTCCACGCCTTTCAGGTTTTTTAGGCATATAGTGCTGGAACTATATTTTGTAGACCAATTGGCACTCGCTGGGTGATGCTGTTATTGTCACGGCAGCTGACTTTACTTCCCCGTACTTTACCTAATACCTGTTTAAAGCTGGGTCAGCATGGGAGCCAAGGTTTATTACTAGTCCGTCCCATCATGGCACAAAATTGTTTGTTATTTTAAAGCCCCATCCTGGTTATCGCCTGGAGCCCTAATAAAATCTAACGGTTGAGTAGGGTGTCTAGGACTTGCCCCGGAGGAGTTCTCGTTTGAATTCTGGCACTTAATTTCACCGGAGGTTTGTTGCTCGCTCGTACGGACCTGGTGGGGTTCAACGTCGCTCGCTCGGGAACCAGAGTCCAGCTCTGTTTTGGATTTGAACCCATGACAGGATACGCAGATGAGCGTCTAGTCGCTACACCACAGTGGCTCTCCCTGTAAAAGATATGCAGCTGACTTTATCCTGAAACACAGAGTTGGTACAGATTAGAAGGCAGAGACAACACTAGTGAAACTGGAATGCCTCACAAAACTAATATAGAAGGCTCACTCAGTCAGCAGATGGCTGCAGGAGCAGAATTTACCTGCTGAAAAGCTCAAACACTGCAACCATTGTGTAAATCAGCATAGCATATCCCTGTGTATGTTCAGGGACCCTATTATAGTGAAAACAAGAGTAGACCCACTGCCTAGCTAAAAGCATGTGGTAGGAGTCGACTAACTGGGAGCTTTCTTCCAAGTCGGAGTGCATCTGCCTGAGAAGCAATGAACCAGCAGTCTGCATACAAGTAAGTCAGATCTGTAAAATGGATGCACATGCAACACTCAGGTTCGAGAACAAGGCTGCAGTCCAGAAGTGGATGAACAACCAGAACTTTCCGCCAGAGTTTACAGCTGGTGAACGCGAAGAAGAGCTCAGTATAATTGATTTCTGATATGAATAAAGAAGAAGAATGTCAGTGTATCAGACTTCAACATTCTTCTTTTTAACATTCTTTGACTTTGAACTCAGGAGGAAAATGTTGGTTGTTCGTCCACTTCTGGACTTTGGTCTTCTTCCAGAACTTGAATTTTGCAAGCACGTGTATTTATAGATGTGGCTTACTTATTTGCAGGCTTTCGTCTCTCAGGCAGATGCAGTCTGACTTTGAAAGAAAAATCCCTAAGTAGCCCTCTTGTATGACATGCTTGTTATGGAGACAGTGGGTATATATTCTTTTCCCACTGACACCACTATGTTCATCTGTGATGTCATGTGCTTAACACTCTTGATAGCCTTAACAATAATAGAAGGTCAAAAGATAGAGGCGTGGTTTTTGTAATTTCTATCAGACTTTCAAGGTTTTTAGTTGAAGCACCTTTATAGCAACTCAGTGTTTCCCAACTTTTGTGTGTGCCATGCCCGGCCTAAGCATTTCTAAAATTTGTATGCCCCCTATATAATTTAAACTCTGGATGAGTGCATTTTCATATTGCTTCCCTTAACAATCAAATTGCCTCCTCATAATAGAATGTCATCCCCTTGTTGGATGCAATTTTTCGTTATTTGAAGCCCCACCCTGGCAGTAGCGACTGAAAGGGGTTTCTGGGACCTCTCCACGGGTGATCCTCATCCGCATGGTGGCACTTTGTGTCACCGGCTGTTTGTGACTTGTGTGATGTCCTGGTGGGGTACAACAAGCAAGCAAATTGTCTCCCTTAGGGGTGTGGGCTCTAAATTGTGAAACACTGTAGTTACCAATAAATGCTGGGTTTGGTTTTTGAAGTCCTGCACTGGACTGTAACTGACTTGTATTTGTTTGTTGTTGCAGCGGAGTCAGATGGTGAATCTTCTGATTGCTGGCCACGACAAAGTAGATGGGCCATCCTTGTACTACCTTGATTACCTGGCATCTTTAAACAAGCTACCCTTCGCCATCCATGGCTATGGCAGTCTCTTTGCTCTGAGCATAATGGACAAATATTACCTAAAAGGTATGTGTGCTTGTGCCGTTTTGTGCGAGTTTTGGTGTCTTGTCAAGGGTAGCTTTCATTCAGCCTTTTTATCCTTTTGTGCCGTTATGTGTCATATAGTACTTGCAGTTTATTCTTCCATTCTGTTCTATCCACTGCGGATGTATCAGTATCATTGATGGATTCCCCCCGTGTGGGTTCCGGGGCCCCATTGTGGGGAAAACAAGAATAGACCCACTGCCTCCCCAAAAGCATGTCGTAAGAGTCGACTAATTGGGGAGCTTCCTTTGAAGTCGGAGTGCATCTGCCGGAGAGGCAAGGAACCAACAGTGTGTATTTAAGAGAATGAGATCTGTAAAACTGATGCACACGCAACACTCAGCTTCTGGAGCAGGACTGCAGTTCATTAGTGGATGAGCAACCAGAACCTTCCGCCAGAGTTTACAGCTGGTGAACGCGAAGAAGAAGAAGAAGATTGATGGATTCTATTATAGCATCTTTGGCCTCTCTCATTAACATTCATTATAAGGTTTCTTTTGGAGGTCCTCGTTTCATCAGTCCATTTGTTTCTCATTTTAATGCTTGTTTAGTTAATCTCTGTCTGCTTTTCCTCACGATGGGGTTGCCAACTTCTTTGTCTTGTAACTGTTGATACAGCTAGGAGTGACTAGATATTTCTCTTATCTCTTTGCCTTTCTTTATTTAATGACATCTCCTGTTTATCAGTTTTTGCTTTTATTGCACACCAGCATCTTAATAAGTGCTCTAATCTCCTTCCATAGATCATACAAAGAGGTTCTCAGTGCAGTGCACAATCTCCGTAGCCCCACTCTTCTTCTTCCCTTCCTTTGGTTACCCCATTACAGTGTTGAATTGAATTTCGTTGAGGCTCTACTTCATTTCATCTGTTGCATGGTCTTCACTTTGTTCTGTATTGATTGTATTTCTTCATTGTGGCAGTTGGTATTTGGTCATTCTAGTCAGATGGCTAGAGCCTCTCATCCGTTGCTCTTTGAATGATGTTACTGATTAAATTATAGTTTATCTGATTGTATCATATCTTTTCTATCAGTGTGTTTTTCTTTGACATTTCAGATCTGGACTTTGATGCGGCAAAAGATCTGCTGATCAAATGCTTAAATGAGGTAAAATAGTTTGATCATGCTTTTGAAATTATAAATAATAGTTTTAGTTTCTGAAAATCCTGTGTGGATTCAGGAGCAGTTTTTTTTTTGGGTTGGGGGGGGGTGAATTGACACATCAACCCTTAAAAAAGCATCTATTGAAAGTTTTGCCAGTATTGGATGTGTGGGACTGAAAGCTGCAGAAATCACAGCCTAGCTGTAGATCACAACCACCATTTGAAGAGTGAATGCAGTAAAAGAAGACTTTTCTGGCAAACAAAGGTGGGGTCTGTTTTCTGTATCATCATCATGTAGCAGGTCCTTTGCAGAACATCGCTCTCATCATAGTCTGCCTGAAAGAAACTTGGTCTCTTGCCAGTTCTCCTGCCTCATGAACTTTCACACTCAAGGAGTCACTTATATCCTGTGCCCATCTACGTGTCGGTCGGCCCCTGCCCCTCCTTCCTGGTACCATGCCTTCTGCTATAATTTTTTCCAATCCGTCGTGGCGCTTGATATGACCAAAATATTTCAGCTTTCGAGAAGGGATGCTGTTTATTAGCCAATCTTCCTTAATGTTCAGATCTTTTAAGATGTCAATATTTCTCATCTTCTTTGTCCAAGATATTCTGAGAATCTTTCTATAGCATTTCAGCTCAAAAGCCCCTATTCTGTTTCTTAAGAACTGAGAGATAGTCCACGACTCACATCCGTATGTAGCCACAGGAAAGATGTATACTCTCAAAATTCTAATTTTTATCTCCTTGCTGGTGCTTAACCATAGACTTTAAGGCTGTTCAAGTTTTCTTTATGGCGTGTTAAAATTAATGTTTTGTTTAATTATGTATAATTTTAAAATGAACAAAAGTGAATATACTTTATTATTTCAGGCCACAACTTTTTTTTTTAAATGTTGTGATTTGCAGTGACATCAGTGTGTCCCTTAAGTTTATTATTTTTAACAAGCTAACTATTATGTTAAAACATGTTTTTGTTTTATTTCTCCAGATTCAGAAGAGGTTTATTGTCAACCTGGGAAGGTTTCGCTTGCGCGTGGTTGACAAAGATGGCATCCACGACAAGGGAATGGTCCATGCAGAACCAGATGAGTCAACAAAGTAACATAAGAAGGAGTCTGTGACTAGGACAATGGTGTTTGCATGAACGGTTCTGAATTGAATGACATTTATGTGTGTTTTTGTTTTTAAATAATGTTTGTGTGTGGGTACACAAAGAGTTGAATGGGGGTAGACCATGAGGCAGACCAAGAAGACAGTGGAGAGATCATATATTTGCATACTTGCAAACACTGGAAGTCACCAACTGGAAAGGGAAGTCCAGTCAGAGAGATGAATGGAAGTGAGTGAACCCCAAGGGCTCAGAATGCTGAAGAAGTATATCTGTGTCTTTACAAAATGGTAGAAATGTTTTGTATGTGCTTCTTTGCAAGACAAATGTTTTACAAAATGGTAGAAATGTTTTGTGTGTGCTTTGTTTTTGTTGCAAGACTAATGTTTTGCATGATTGTTTCCTTGCAAGATAGAAATGTTTTCCATGTATGTTTACGTGCAAGGCAACAAGTTTCCTGTACCTACATTACCAGAAAGAGTTATTAAAGATTGCCTGTGTTAAAAATTTTCCTTCATTTTTGTATTGAAATCTCTTAAGTTAAGTACCAGGGGATGGGGAATTGGCCGATGCTCAACACTCGAGGGAACAGCGTGACGGATGCACAACAAGACAGTTACTGGTACCATCAGAATTGGAACTCTTCGTTTGCTGCTGAAGATGGGGACAGAGCACATATGGGTGTGTCCTAAGTGTTGTGATGTCAATTTTAAATTCAGCACTCAACATTGTTAAGTTGAGAACTGACATCACAACACTTGGGATATTCCCACAACTGGTCCTTGCTCATCTTCAACAGCCGGTGAAGAATTCCAGGGAATTGTGCCAACTCTACACTCAGAGGAAAGGCAAGATGGACCGACAAGCAGACTGTTACTGGTACAATCAGCAGTGAAAAAGCAAGATAAATATATATACAAAGACCAAGATATGCAGAGATATATAGAGGCAGCTGAAATTTGCATCTACTGCGTGCGCATATTTCTGGATTGTTCCAGAACTAATTGATTGTTCACACATTTTTCAGATGAAACAAGGACGGACATTTCATTTGATTTGCACTGGCCACAGGAACGGAGCAAGTATGGGGAAACCCAACTGCAGTAAAGTTAATACCTCAAATAAAACTAAGATTAAGATATACAGACTAACTTCTACCATCACCTTTAGAGTTTGTGATTTGTGCAATGCTCTATGCAGTCGACCAGCCGATCTGTGAAGGTAGACCAAGATTCTAATGACATGCCTGGTAGGCTGCAGTTTTACTATTCCTTGCATCCAAAAGGACTTCAGTAACACACAGGAACAATAATTAGCTACAGCATTGAAATAGCCACCGTGGTGTAGCAGCTAGATGCTTACCTTGCTGATCAGAAGGTCGTGGGTTTCGGTCCTGATATAGACACATTTTTTCTTCAGAAAATAACTTTGGCTGCCAGGTCGCCCAGACTTGAGTGGGTACCAGGTATAGTCCTAGGAAGTAAAGGCGGCCAGCATGATGTTGATCGCCCAGGGAGTGCTGATTTGGTTATTAGCCCTTCTATGCCCAATACACTGAAGGAGTGGAGAAGTGTCCTCTGCAGCATCCAGATTATTTCTTGAAATTAAACGGTGAACACACAGATTAATTTTTAAAAAAGGTAAAGTCGGGAGATGAGAACCAGCATCATTGCACACAGTTTTAAACCATAAGTGCTCTGCCACCAGTATGGACAGCTGATAAGAAACTCAGCCTGTGTCGCCCTTCGCACGTAACTCCCTAGCTACAGCGACATTCCTCCATTTACCCCAGAGTGTTAACTCTGGTACCCATTTCCTAGAGGCTGGTCGAACACCGGCCGTGGGCTGCAACGAGTGGCATCTGGATTTGAAAGCGAGTCTCCTATCGACTGCGCTAACGTGCCCCTAGATTGGTTGTGAACATTTAAGAACACATAAAACATTTCACAGTTTGACTCTTTTTGTTCTCAACATTTATTTACATGAAATGGAATTATCATAAACTGAACACATTAAAATCTTACTTTAAAAAAATTGAACTTATACCATACAGTATCAAAAGATAATATGCTGATCTCTCAACCAGTCAAGTGCTGCCACCACACTGAAAGTTATTTGCAGTGGTCTTTCTCTTATCTCGGTGATATACTCTCAGTCTCTGTTCATCTGTCTCTTGAAGCCATTTTCTCCTACTTTGCTGTATTTATGCTCCCACTTGCCTTGCTATAGCCATTCTCCCAAATGTATTGCTGTAATGTACTTATATACCTTTGCTTTTAATTATAACGAAAGTTAGCTTCATTTGAAACAGCCTGAGGAAATTGATGAACAATAAATGGGACAAATTCAACAACTGCGAAAAAAATCAAAGCATGTTTGGACAACTGTCGGCATCAACAGTTACCAGTTTAAGAAAATGGCAGTATACTGAGAACACCCTGAGGAGAGGCGGACACAGAATCACCAAGCAGGAACTGAAATGGGAAACAAATGGACTGGTGAAACAAAGAGGCCCAAGAGAAAACTTTGAGTTGATGAGAGAATGAATAAACTTTTTTCAAAGAGTCAGAAATTGGGCACGCAGGCCCATCTTACATTTAGCCCTTCCAAACACCCATCTTTCACACACAGAAAACACATTTCAACGGCTGTCCTCTTCTCTACCACATGAGCAGTTTCAACTGTGCCTATAATGGCGTTGGTGATACACTTATTGTTCCTCTGTGTATGGAAACTTATGGGAGTAGGTCCCACTGGAAAGGGGGAGGGGGGGGGGGTAGTGCACGTTCACATGGCCGAGGTGATCCTTTGCCGGTGGGACAAGGTAGGGAGTAAAATGGAAAATACTAACAACCCGTGCCTGGAGAGGATGATAAAGCGTGGAATGTCTGGGGTTGTGGGCACCACTCGTGGAGGGGGGGGAAAGACAAGACGAGTAGTTGACCAGATGACAGCGGGTACCATGGGTCTGGAGACTCTACGCTGGCTGTTGAGTCGGGGGACCAAGCTAACATGGGCTTGTCCTGAATGCTTTACCCAGATGGTGCTGTAGTCATGCTGGTTTCATCCTGTCTCTTCTTGCAGAAATCTTACCCCCATTACTGTTTTCCCCAAACATTACTGCATTTAATACAGGCAAAATGTTTTATTTATATTCTTCGCATTCACCAGTTGTTAACTCCAGGGGAAAGTTCTGGCTGTTCATCCACTTCTGGACTGCAGTCCTGTTCTAGAACCTGAGTGTTGCATGTGCATCAGTTTTACAGATCTGACTCATTTGTATGCAGACTGCTGGTTCCTTGCCTCTTAGGCAGATGCACTCCGACTTCAAAGGAAGCTCCCAATTAGTCAACTCTTTCGACATGCTTTTGGGTAGGCAGTGGGTCTATTCTTGTTTTCCCTATAACAGGGCCCTGGAACCCACACAGAGATGTTTTATTTATTTACCGGTCACCACTGATAGTTAGAGTGTAAGAATGCCAGTGTTTTTCCTTTTATCAGTACATGACAATCTAAGAATAAGAATATTCCTGTAGCACATAAGTTAAAAAAAAACCACAATTTTCTTCTTACTGACTGCAAAATAGTCAACGACTCATTCTGTCCATTTCCTCTTTGGCTCTGAGGCTTCACGTTAGAGAAAAAAGACAAGACTCACTGGCCCCCTGACAGGCAGGTCAAAGAAGGGGTTTAATTAAGGGTGTTTCCTTTAAAGTTGGAGTGCATCTGCCTGAGAATTGAAAAACCATCAGTCTGCATACAGATAAACCAGATCTGTAAAAAGGATTTGCATGAAAAACTAAAGTGTAGATCAAGACCAAAGTCCAGGAGTGGATGAACAATCAGAAGTTTACAGCCTGTGAATGCTAACAAGAAGAAGAAGGAAGTCTCCTTCTATTGCCACAGCAGCTTCATCCACTCACACTGACTGCATTCATACATTTCACTTTTTTTGCCCAGACTTCTGGGATAGACAGAATTGTTTCTTTTGCAAATTTACCCTTTATCCTCTTCAACACAAGTCAACTGTCTTCACAATGAAATGGTCAAGCTTGGCTCTCAGAACTTCTTGTGTTCGTTTCACATCAATGTCATTCAGTTAATCAGTGCGATTTTTTGCAGTTTTAATGGAGACCTGTACGGCTAGTTACTGGATCTACGAAGCTTGTGCTTTGTGCAACCCTCTCGACTGGCAACTACCCGCTCTGTACAGAAAGACTTTTGGAGATATAACCTGGTGCACTGAAGTCATTCCTCTCGTCTGTGTAACTTTCACAAAGGGTTAGTTAGTAATGTACTCTTTTGGTCTTTGGCTTGATTACACTCTCGTGGGATGACACCCACGATATGCTACTGTCAGATTTAGAAAATCCAACCCTTGTAGAGGAGCTATCCTGGAAATAAAACTTGATGCCAAACTGCCTCATGTGGAAGTTCACAGCGAAGTAGACGAAGTGTAGGAAGGAGTAGATGGCGATGACCAGCGGGAAGATGTCGGGGTATCGCTGCGGTGGAGGGATCAGGACTGTTGCTACAGCAATACACACAGCAACCATTATTGAGAATTCAAACTGCAATACAAAAACAAAATAATTTCTGTATAGCGATGATTTAAAACTCATAAAGATAGAGGCAGGTTTTCTTCCTAAAGAATGGGTCAATAGAGGCAGATTTTCTTCCTATAGAATGGGTCAATAGAGGCAGGTTTTCTTCCTAAAGAATGGGTCAATAGAGGAGGTTTTCTTCCTATAGAATGGGTCAATAGAGGAGGTTTTCTTCCTATAGAATGGGTCAATAGAGGCAGGTTTTCTTCCTATAGAATGGGTCAATAGAGGCAGGTTTTCTTCCTAAAGAATGGGTCAATAGAGGCAAGTTTTCTTCCTATAGAATGGGTCAATAGAGGCAGGTTTTCTTCCTAAAGAATGGGTCAATAGAGGAGGTTTTCTTCCTATAGAATGGGTCAATAGAGGAGGTTTTCTTCCTATAGAATGGGTCAATAGAGGCAGGTTTTCTTCCAATAGAATGGGTCAATAGAGGCAGGTTTTCTTCCTATAGAATGGGTCAACAGAGGCAGGTTTTCTTCCTATAGAATGGGTCAATAGAGGAGGTTTTCTTCCTATAGAATGGGTCAATAGAGGCAGGTTTTCTTCCTATAGAATGGGTCAATAGAGGCAGGTTTTCTTCCTATACACATCAATCCAGAGGTCGTGGATGGTGCCAGTTAAGTGGATATTTTTCCTTTATGTAGGTACGTTTGGGAATGAGCAGGCAGAGGGGCTGGCTGGACTGCCCCTATTTTGGGATGTACTGCATAAGGCAGAAGACCTAATTCTCTGACACTTTAACATGGGCTTTGGCTCCTAGGTCGACCGAGCTTGAATGGGTACCAGGTGCAGTTATGGGAAAGAAAGGCGGCCGGCATGATGTTGACAACATCGCTGACCAAGTGCCGATTGGTCTATTAAAATATAAGTCTAACCCTATGTGCCCTATACGCATCAAGGCGTGGAAAAGGGTCCGTTACGTTACTAAACATGGGCACAATTATGCCAGAAGACACTGTAGCCTACCGACAAGACACTGTCCTGCCGGAAAGCAAAGGCGCCAGCGCAATGATGACAGCATCACCTATCCCGCAGTTGATTGGTCTATAAAGATATGCTCCTAACATCATATGCCCACTATTAGCATGCAAAGGGTCCTTTACCATCTTAATTTACTTAGACCCAAGGATTTTGTTTCTGGCAGTACACAGTTACCGGCACCTTTTTAAGGCATCTTTTTTTCAGTGCTACTGTAATAGACACTTTATGGTTAGTACCGGCACCTTTTTCCCTGTTTTCAGTTTCTTCGTGGTGAGTACCAGCACCCATTTTTTGTTCTAGACAAAAAAAAAAAAAACTCTGCTTATATCTATGCCAGAGCTCACCATTTTATAATAAGAAAAAAACTTACAATTTTCTGAACATCTGGCGAGGCAGTACTTGTGGGCCGGAGAAAGTGGCTGACAGTGATCCAGAATAGCCAGACAGTGGCAATGGTGGGGATCAACAGTCCGTCTTTGATCAATAACGGTAGCATGCTGAAAAAATGAAAAGTATTTCGGTGATTTCAACGAAGGTCTCACCAAACAATGAAGGTCATGTTTCATTGATAAGTTTGCTTTGCTGGTCCACCTTCCTCAGGTTACGGGTGTGCCGTTCTGTTGTTTGCTTTCTAGGTTGTCTTGCATTTACGTTTTTATTCCGAGAAAGAGAATGCCTGTGACAAAGGTTTCATTACCCTATAAAGGGGTTGTGTGTTAGACCCAATTTGTCTGTGTTTTGTAGTGTTAAACATGCTGGCGTGCTGAAATATACAACACGCGATATCAACGGCATTGCTGAAAACCCCCGTAACCTTGTGCCAAGGTAACGAGGCTCGAAGTCGACCAATCAGAAGTGAGCTAGTGTGTAACCCTGTGAAAATGGGGAGACCAGCCTTAGTTTTACCAGTATTTCAATACCTCTATTCACACAAAAATAAAAAACAGTTGCAATTTCAAAAGAGGATTAATCACATTGTTTGGACACGGGAGGCCACAATCGGGGAACAAGGCCGTCAGGACGACCCAGAGTTCGCTGGGAATACAACATCTGACAGTCCCTGAGTGTCCCTAACAGAGAACTGCAAGGAGGTTTGAACAACAGATGAACATCATGGCAGACGGGTAGTAAACCATAAGTGCGCCGTTCTTCTTCTAACTCAAGTACGAGTCTGAAGAAGCTCAGCACAGTGCACAGGCGCTGTAGCACCGAGGAGGATCCTTCAATACTTTGGGTAGATTTTTCAACTCCACATTTTTGCCCGGGCAGCGCCGTTAGGCTACTCTTTTAGATTTCCAACTGCCAAGTGATATTTTACGTGCGCAACAATGCACACGGGCGTCCGATCTCACTACCCAGAGACCAGGTGGAATTACAAGAAGTCCAAAAGTCCAAGTCCACGTGAAAAAAATGCCAACGCTGATGGGGATTGAACCCGTACACCATGCCTTTAGACCACGCAGTCCCCAAGCCAAAAAAGACAACTGCTGATGGAGAGGTCTGGTGATATCTTTGGTAAACCTCTACATCCCAGAGTAGAAGAGGATCTACTAAGTAAGTATTTCAGTCATCATTTGTCATGCCGATAAGCATAGACTGCCATGTTTCACCATCCAAACGATCACAGATCAGGTCAGTGTTCTTGTCTCGAACCATCCAAATGGCTAAGCCATCTCGGAATTCATCTCTTTGCCTCCCACCTGTTTTCTGTCCATCCGTATTGTCCGTTGTTACCAGGTTTTCTAGTCCATTTCTTCTTACATTATATCCGAAACACACCAGCTGTCTTCTAATTGTTCTAGTCAAGACTTGTAAAACCCGGATCAAAAGAATAAAAAGCAATAAAACAATTTAAGATCGTTTTCCATTCTTTTTAGCTTTTACTGGCTGTAAACTCCAGCGGAGAGTTCTGTGTTGTTTGTCCACCTCATGACTTTAATTTTGTTTCAGAACTTAATTTTTGCGTGCACATCCGTGTTACAGATCAGTAGTCGTAATAAGCTTAATGGCAAAAGAAAACCAAAATTGTGTTTAAATATTATGAAAGGTACAAATATTGAAAAACAGAATTTCAAAACATGGTTGGGGTGGCACTTGGCTTTTTTCTAAATGTTATTGTGGGTAGGAGGGGGAGGGGGTGGGGTTTGAGCGCCCCAATAAAAATATACATACATTTGTGTGTTTGTAAAATGTGAGATAATATTAGTTACCATGCTGAAATACATTACCTAAACATTGAAATATATTAGGTATACACTGAAATACATTAAGTAAACACTGAAATACATTACCTAAACATTGAAATACATTAAGTAAACACTGAAATACATTAAGTAAACGCTGAAATACATTACCTAAACACTGAAAAACATTATGTAAACACTGAAATACATTAAACACATAAATTTATTACCTGAACACTGAAATCAGTAAAAACCAGAAAACATTCAAAGGATCACTTTTCACCACTAAACAGGAGGGTCTGGAAAGGGAGAAAAAACACACACTTTCGTACATTCCTAATGCAAACTTTAGATTTTTAAATTAAAATTACAATTATCCAGGATCATACAACACTATTTTCTAAAACATAATCTGATGTCAAATCTTTGGACTTATCTAAGATGCAAATAGCGGGGAATGGAGAGTGAGAAGAATGAATCTTTGGACCCATCAAAGATGCAAACAGCGGGAAATGGAGAGTGAGAAGCAACAACGAAATTCATAATCTGTTGAAATCAACATTGATCATAGCATAATGAGAGCTAATAGGATGAAATGGCTGGTGCATATTGAAAGAATGTCAGATGACAGAGAAGTAAAAACTGTATAAATAAGGAAGATGAATGGTCGTAGACCACGAAGCAGACCTAGAAGACGATGAAGAGAAAATATCCAGACAGACCTGCAAACACTTGGTGTCACCACCTGGAAAGAAAAGTCCAACCAGGGAGATGAATGGTGGCGGGTGATATCTGCAGCAATGAACCTCAAGGGCTCAGAATGCTGATGAAAAAGAAGATAGCAACACTACAGTCTTGATGCACAAAACATATTGTGCCAAATTAATTAAGATTGTGTCGGCAGGCCAGCACACTGCTGACTCTACCACCGAAACTCACCATGTAACAAAACCAAGCCCCCACAAGTTCAGGTGATCAGCTAGGATATGGTTTATTTTGTAAATCAGTCGACGTCACTACACAGCAGGCATTGCCACCAATGGGTTGCTGCGTGGTCTCGAGGCATGGTGTCCGCCTCGAGTTCTAGAGGTTTCGGGTTCAATCCCCGGTAAGGGCTGCGATTTTTTCACATGGACTTGGATTTGTAGTAATTCCCCCTGGTCTCTGGGTAGTCTCTGTGTGCACTGTTGCGCACGTAAACAAAAATCCCTTGGCAGTTGGAAATCGAAAAGAGTAGCCTAACGGCGCTGCCCGGGAAAAATTTCAAGTTAAAAATCTACTCAAAGTATTTCAGGATCTTCGCCGGTGCTACAGAGCCTGTGCACTGTGTTGAGCTTCTTCGGACTCAGACCTGAGTTAGAAGAAGAACGGAGCACTTAGGGTTACTACCCCTGTGCCATGATGTTGATCCGCTGTTCAAACCTAAACCTCACATGATGATGTAGCAACTCCCAGTAACCGATGTTGATTGTTCCTATGAGAAGTTCGTTCCCCGTGTGGATTCCGGGGACCAATGGGAACAATCCCTAACAAGGATGTCATAAACAGCGACTGATTATGAATTTTCCCCCTGAAGTCGGAGCGCATCTGCTTGATCGGTGAGGAAGCCAGATCTATAAAATGCATGTGCATGCAAAAGTCAAATTCTGAGACAAGATTGAAGTCAAGAAGTGGACGAACAACCAGAGCTTTCCACCAGAGTTTACAGCTGGTGAACGCTAAGAAGTAAGGGTTACAAGATTTCCTATCTCCACCTCTAAGACGGCATTGGCGTGCTCACCAGGCTTTACTCGGAAGTCATGTAATCCTGTTAGCGTCAGCCATAAGCCATGACCCGCCAGACTTGGTCCGCACAGCCTTGATAGTTCAGTTGTGTCCATGCATCTTTCCACGAGTCTATTATATTCAGACTAAGGACAGGACACAACAGATTTCGTCAACATATGTTCAAATTTTTCGGATTAGGAAATACGGAGACGTGTTCCTGCAGCGTGGCACCCGAAAATGCTGAGCATGTGCTCCAACACTGTCAACTGTATGCTGACAACAGAGACGCAATCTGGCCTGTTCCAACCACAATGAAGACAAAACTGTATGGTACACGAGAGGATATGGATTGCACGATAGCTTTCATAAAGGCTACCGGCCTCCTGATATAAGTTTTCTGACAGAAGGATCGAAGAAGAAGAAGAAGAAGAAGTGCCAGCTGGTCCGCTCATTGATGACCTTTTTGCACAGACAAGCCCACGGTGTGTGCAGATCCCGTTAACACTTTCAGTCGCAACCAACACACCATCTGTGATCAGCTATTGCGCATGTTTACCAAGCAACCAATAAAATGATCTGTGGTCAGTCTATGTATATTACAGAAATGTGGCTTAATTTAATGTCCAATCTAGATATACATGTAGCTACATCTGTGACAGCCAGGTTAACGTATTTTATATTCACTGCGACTGTTGCTACCCACTTGAGGAAATATGGTGCTAAATCTTCTTGTACTTAAAAGAGTTCAATACGACTTGCGAATACTTTCCAGCACTTAGCACTGCAGTTTATCTCTCTGCGGACGCCCTAATCATAACCTCTTTGAAGGCTGAATGTCATCTGGGATCTGCCAACCATACTGAGGTTTACAAATCCAATGATGGAATGGTTAGACCTTTAGGGGAGAGCAGGCCGGAGCGGACAAATCGATCAACAGGTGTCTATCCATTCACAGCGGAGGTTGCCTGTTGCGATTTTCTAAGCAACTCCGTGGAATATAATTATACGTACACACCACAACTTAAAAATATAACCTATATATGTTGGGAGGGGGGACCTTACAACCCATTCACACTTTTTAGTTGGGGGATGGGGTGGCTCTCAATGTGCCTAACCTGTCAGATTGTGGCGCCCCAAACGTTATCGATCCCAGCTGTGGGCCTTAAGTTAGTTTCGACAGTGGTATCGAGAAGCCGACCGTCCAAAAAGCAGTGGCAAACTACTAAATTTGCCTAGAAAAACCACAACAGCCAGACAAATTCTGGGGTTGGTTCTGCAATACCCTGTAAAGGATACGCAACTAACTAACTAACTAACTAACTAAATAACTAACTAACTAACTAACTAACTAACTAACTAACTAACTAGCTAACTAACTAACTAGCTAGCTAACTAGCTAACTAACTAACTAACTAACTAACTAACTAACTAACTAACTAACTAACTAACTAACTAACTAACTAACTAACTAACTAACTAACTAACTAACTAGCTAACTAACTAGCTAACTAACTAACTAACTAACTAACTAACTAACTAACTAACTAACTAACTAACTAACTAACTAACTAACTAACTAACTAGCTAGCTAGCTAACTAACTAAC